GGAATGGTAGTAGGATGGCAGACTACCGCCGGATGTCGTACAGCGACAATTAGAATACCATACTGTTCACAGGTGGGCTGGTCACACTATTGAAAACAGGTCATGTCCAAAAAGTTGGACACGAGGTCACAGACAAGTTTCATAAGACTTTCACTGTACCAGGATTACATGATGTTGTTGTGTCAGGCAAGTATAATAATATAAATGGAATATATTACCGACAAGACGATGAATTAGGACACATTAGACACTTGTTGCGCATGAGTCTAATTCATCTGCTTGTAGGTAGTTTGTGCTATTCATGGTATGGTTTAATTTTGCTGACCAACGTAATTATTCTGGGCAAAAGGTGGTTTGTATGTCTAATAATAATAATAATAATAATAATAATAATAATAATAATAATAATAATAATAATAATAACAATAATAATAATAATAATGGAAAGCTCTAACACAATAAATTATTTCTAGGTTTTAGAAATATACTTCATATATCTGCCATGTTTCGACGCTGACAATGTTTCGTCAGGAGAGAAGACAGTGTCTCCTGACCCGGGTGCTAATGACCTGTCACTGGTCACTGGCCTATCCCAGCTACCATTTACACTCCTGACCCGGGTGCTAATGACCCGTCACTGGTCACTGGCCTATCCCAGCTACCATTTACACTCCTGACCCGGGTGCTAATGACCCGTCACTGGTCACTGGCCTATCCCAGCTACCATTTACACTCCTGACCCGGGTGCTAATGACCCGTCACTGGTCACTGGCCTATCCCAGCTACCTCTTACACTCCAATTACACAAAACACAAAATAATTACTACATGGTAGTGTATCCCAAGATGATACCCATACTGGTATCCTCAAGATTTTCGTGGACGCGAATTTGGTTGGTTGGTTGCAGGTGTAAAGTTTGTCGTCTACACGAGGTCCATTAATTAAGGGTTACCTTTCACCACCAGAAACGAATAATTTTATATACGTATATAATTAATCCCTAAAACAGAGTATGTTTATATCGTGTGCGAATTTAATACACCGATTTTTTATGATTCAGTTTTACAATAAATATCTTAGGATCTATTAGGGCCAGGAGCTATGAATCTACCCCTGCAACCACAGTTAGGTTAGTACAGCTGTGTATCTACCCCTGCAATCACAAATAGGTGAGTACACACACACACACACACACACACACACACACACACACCACACACACTACAAAGGGATCTGGACAGGCTGCAGACCTGGTCCAGCAATTGGCTCCTGGAGTTCAACCCCACCAAGTGCAAAGTCATGAAGATTGGGGAAAGGCAAAGAAGACCGCAGACGGAGTACAATCTAGGGGGCCAGAGACTACAAACCTCACTCAAGGAAAAATATCTTGGGGTGAGTACAACACCAGGCACATCTCCTGAAGCGCACATCAACCAAATAACTGCTGCAGCATATGGGCGCCTAGCAAACCTCTGAACAGCATTCCGACATCTCAGTAAGGAATCGTTCAGGACCCTGTACACCGTGTACGTTAGGCCCATATTGGAGTATGCAGCGCCAGTTTGGAACCCACACCTAGCCAAGCACGTAAAGAAACTAGAGAAAGTGCAAAGGTTTGCAACAAGACTAGTCCCAGAGCTAAGAGGTATGTCCTACGAGGAGAGGTTAAGGGAAATCAACCTGACGACACTGAAGGACAGGAGGAATTGACAAGGTGGACAAAGACAGGATGTTCCAGAGATGGGACACAGCAACAAGGGGACACAGTCGGAAGTTGAAGACACAGATGAATCACAGGGATGTTAGGAAGTATTTCTTCAGCCACAGAGTAGTCAGGAAGTGGAATAGTTTGGGAAGCGATGCGGTGGAGGCAGGATCCATACATAGCTTTAAGCAGAGGTATGATAAAGCTCAAGGTTCAGGGAGAGTGACCTAGTAGCGACCAGTGAAGAGGCGGGGCCAGGAGCTTGGACTCGACCCCTGCAACCTCAACTAGGTGAGTACAACTAGGTGAGTACACACACACAACGCTGTGTCCGTGGCTCATTCCCTGGCACGGGTGGGAATGTTGGGCGTGTTTCCTTACACCTACCGTCCTTGTTCATCTAACAGTAAGTAAGTAGCTGGGCGTTAGTCGAATGGTGTCGGTTGCATCCTGGGGGACAAGACTGAAGGACTCCAACTGAAATAAGTAAGACAGTCCTTGACGACTCGCTGACTTTCTTGGGTTATCCAGGGTGGGTAACCCTCCCTCGGGTTAAAAATCCCAACCAATCTTATTTTACCAAACATACATACACGCTGGCCAAGAGGTCCTCAAGAAGCAAAGGTTGATCCTTGTTACCTCGCATAACTATTATTCACTGATCCTAATTTATGTTGAAGTACTCATATAGCAGCAGAAGGAGGAAAGGGAAGGGTGATTGTTACCACGCCTGGCTGACTACTGTAGCTTCATCCAGATTTATGTGCTTGCTATATTCGGCAAGAAAAGTGTTGCTATTTAAGCCAAAATCGCAAGTTTTACCTATTCGGCACGATACTATATATATATATATATATATATATATATATATATATATATATATATATATATATATATATATATATGTCGTGCCGAATAGGTAAAACTGGTCAATTAGCAAGAATTCATTTAAAATTAAGTCCTTTGTAAAATATTCTCTCATACGTTTAAAGATATATTTTTTTTCATTAATGTTAATGTAAAAATTTTTAATTTTGCATCAAAAGAATCTTAGAAAACTTACCTAACCTTATTATAACAAGAACAATTTATTTTAGCCTAACCCGATTAAATATATTTTAGATTTGTTTACAATAATTTAATACTAAACAAACACAGTGAAATATATTTTTTTCGTTAGGTTAAGAATGATTTTGGCGAAATTATTGCATACACAAATTTTCACTTGTCCTTTATGGCAAGATGAGCGTTGCTATTTAAGCCAAGATCGCAAGTTCTGCCTATTCGGCACGACATATATATATATATATATATATATATTATATATATATATATATATATATATATATATATATATATATATATATATATATATATATATATATATATATTATATATATATATATATATATAGGCTCAAACTCGTCTTTGCTGTCGAGACAAGTTGTGACATTCTGAATCAAATGTTTGTTTGTAAGCGAGTATGATCGAAGTGAAGGCGAATGATTTTTGGGGGCAATTTTAAGATTTTAAGGAGAATATCTTGATTCGGGTGAAAATTTTTTATCCCATGGATACAATTCTAATTATTTCTCATTCTCTAGCTGCTTCCCCAAGAGTATAAAGTACTGCTTTCTTTCCGTCTACCATTGTCAAGTCAACTATGAGAGAGAAAAATTTGGAAAATGACGATTTTAATAAATGCTGACCTTAGAAGCAAAAGTTGTGTTGCTTAGAAGCCTGACTTGCTGCTGGCAACCTCATTACCAGATGAAACCTGCCCAGGACAAGGAATTTATTTGATAACTTTACCAGAACTGTTGTGTGTGTTGATGATCATTTTTTTTATATATTTTATTTAAAACACGACATAACAAGAATATGATACACTGTGACCAAGGCCGAAATACATATAAACCATAACACAAAGGATAAACGTTACACTCACAATAAACATAACGCATATAAACAACTGAACATTCATACATGGTTAGGTACACAAGAAAGGATACAATGTGTGTGGTATAAACATTAACTCAACCGGCCACTACATCAGGTCATAAAGACAAGACACCATGCATAACACAAAGGTTACCTAACAAGCAACCTACCAACAAATACATGAGCAACTAGTACAATGGTTGCAGCATACAATAGTATTGGCACCATGCCTCCTACCTCCACTAACCCCCCCCCCCAATCTGTTGATCATTATAGTGCTGTTAGGTGCATTTGTTGTAGCCAGATTCATAGAAGCTGTGTTTATTGTTTCTGTTTATACACAATGTGTTGATGTCGACACATACTTTATTATTGTTATTGTTATTCTTCTTCTTCTTCTTCTTCTTCTTCTTCTTATTATTATTATTATTATTATTATTATTATACTGATGAATATGACAAACGTGCAACACTTAAGTATTTTTAATGCCGAAAAGATACCCAAGTGTTGGACATGTCTTGTTCATCAACTTGGCATTTCATACTGTCAATAATTAGATATTATCATGTTCATAGGGACGGGCTAAACCCACAGGGGATCATACAATGCCCTGGGAATGACATGTGCAATCAGTGTTGATAGTTCTAAATGGCTTAAAATCGGCAATAATGAAGAAATAACAGTAAAACAATGCTCGGGATAAACGTTTCAATTTGAGTGTTTAGATCTTTATCGAGTCAATTTGATCCAAGGGAAAGTAGAGACAGTGTAGCTCCAATCCCTTTGATAAAGAGCGCTTCACTAGCATCAAGGCATCGCTCTTAAGGCTAACACCAGCATATATACTCTAAATTAAATTATTATATGTGATTACAAATAGGCAATTAATTAGGGCAGGCAAACGACGAATAATATTTTCATAACACTCTTGTTACACAGGCGGGCACTTTGTTAGTAATATAAATTATTTTGAACTTTATTTACAAGAGTAGATAAAAGGGATAGTGTGCTCTTGTGCGTTTAACAATACAGTTAAAGAGGAAAGGAGACACAAACCGGGTTTCTCATTGTTTATATTATGGTCGAATGCGCCTGCTCCGTCGATATGGGAGGGACTGCCAGGCGCACGACCAACATGCTGCCACTCCAATGGAAGGGACTGCCGGGCGCACGACCAACATCATGCCATTACAATGATGCCAACACCTTTACTTTAACTTTGTATTAACTAATTCCTTCTTTGTTACCCCTCCGTCTATGATAACATCACTCGAGAATGTAAAGAGATAACAGGAGGTGTAGATGCTGCCAAAGAAATATCGTACCACAGAGAAAAGAGGAGTGTAAAGGGTGTGTTAGTGTAGGGCAGTGGTAGTGAGGGAGGGTGTGTGTGTGTTATCTCTGAGTCTGTGTGTGGACAGCTGTTCCTCCTGCAGGTGCTGTGCTGTGTGCCAGTTAGACACTTAGTTTTCGCTGTATACAAGACCTATCAGTAAGTATCTTCTCTAAAATGCACTTTCCTTATTGTTGTACCCTGAAACTTTCCTTACTTCCGTCTTTTTAATATATTTCGGAGTTAAATATTTAAATTTATTCATTGTGCGACGTATTGTCATACATTTTTAAACGTGTTACAACGTAAATAAATGTTCATGTCTGTGTAGTTACATTTGACATTTAAATGGGTACTTTAAAAGGGCTATAAATGACCCCGTAATCTCCGCTCCACTCAGTCGATGGGATTTGAATAATTTGCTGTCTATATTTATCGGCACTGAAGCGTGTAATTAATATCTACAGCTTGGCAGACGAACTGATATTATGGCTTTCTAGTAATTACGCCTGCTAGAAACGTAGCCTATTCCATCCCTTGTGTTTGCGATTGGAAGGAAGTATGCACAGTGAAGAAATTTTTTTTAGAATTATTCGCCCCTCTAGAGTAAATAATACTTTAGAATAGTTCAAGAAAACCAAGTAACATGGCATATTTTCGTTGGTGTCCTTACGTTCACTCTTGAACGTGACCCACAACAGCTGAATAACACCCGGGTAACTATTACCGCTGCATCAGAGGCAGCAGATGTAAGTACAAGTACCCATACATCTCTCTTCATTTGAGGCTAGTTGATATGCTCACGAGAGAGATAATGCTGAATATTATCTTTTCATTGATTAGCAGTTGGGTATAGTCCTGACACTTTTCCTCCTCCTCAAGATTTTTCCTCTCCACAACTATCTTCTTCATCCTGTCCCCACTTGCCCCTCGCCCCTAGTGGGCCCTTATCTGCGAGTCCTCAGTTCAGTTCATTTGGGGCCCGGTGGCCTGGTGGCTAAAGCTTCCGCTTCACACACGGAGGGCCCGGGTTCGATTCCCGGCGGGTGGAAACATTTCGACACGTTTCCTTACACCTGTTGTCCTGTTCACCTAGCAGCAAATAGGTACCTGGGTGTTAGTCGACTGGTGTGGGTCGCATCCTGGGGGACAAGATTAAGGACCCCAATGGAAATAAGTTAGTCCTCGATGACGCACTGACTTTCTTGGGTTATCCTGGGTGGCTAACCCTCCGGGGTTAAAAATCCGAACGAAATCTTATCTTATCTCTTATCTCTTAAACTCCGGGCTGCTGGGGTGTGTTTAGAAGCTTGTACTACCGAGCGTACGTCATGATGAGTACTGTTGTATTGGTCCATCGATATACATACATTATATATATTTATATATATATATATTATAACTATATATATATATATATATATATATATTATAATATATATATATATATATATACACGTTGGTTTAGAAAGACACGTAAGCAAACACTATAACATATTTATTAGAAAACGTTTCGGTCCTGGAACCTTGATCACTTCTAACATACAGTGGTTGAAAGACATTATATATATAGGCGGAGAGTGAGATGTGACGCACGTGACCTGAGGAATGTCATAAGAACATAAGAATGGAGGAACACTGTAGAAGGCCTACTGGCCCATGCGAGGCGAGGGTAGACGATGAAATCACGTGACTCCTGTGTTGTTGGGTTGGTGCTGCTTAAGTATCATGTATGCCAATGTTTTTGAAATTTTGTAGTTTCCAGTGTTGCGTTCTATAGTGTCGGTGACGGTGATTAGTGAGGCTTCTAGGCACCGTCGGCGTCTGAGGTCTGGTTCGGTGAGAACGAGTTGTGCCTCGTTCCAGTTCATCAAATGCCCCGTGGAGTCTCTGTGGAGGACACAGGCGTACCTTACATCGTCTCTGTTAGAGGCATTTCGATGCTCATTCAGGCGGACTGCAAGATCTCTGCCTGTCTCGCCTACATATTTCTTGGGACAGAACCCACAGGGGATAGTGTAGACGCCTGCTGTAGAAGTTAGAGGTGTGGGGCTGCGTTTAGTAGTGAGGTCTTTGATAGAGGATGTGTTTATGGTGGAAACGTTGATGTTACTCATACCAAGTGCCCGGCGAGTATTCGTGGCAACATCGCCACATGGGAGTACTATGAACACATACACACACACACACACACACTGCAACATCAACCTCACACACACACAGCAGAATTATCACACACTCACACACACAAACACACAGCACCACACATACACACACACATACACACACACACTACATACACACACATACACACACACACACACACACACACACACACACACACACACACACACACACACACACACACACACACACACACACAAGCTCTAGGAGGATGTTCAGACGTATCCGGGAGAGGTCAAGTGTATCTCCAAGTTCCGATAGTTAGAATCTCATTATGTTCAGTCTAAACTTAGGTCATGCGGGAGAGACCTTCACATAGATAGTATACACAGATATTTGTATATCTTTGCATATACACAGGTTTGCATATGTATATTCACAGGTTTACATTGTAAATAAACAAGCGGTTTTGCATGTGTAAAAAATTATTATGTATATAAATACTGTACGTAGAGTGCGAGCGCTAACTAGCTTTGTGTGTATATATATATACACAGTTTACTATACTGTAATCCTTATTTAAGATTACTTTTTACTTTTTTGACTGGTTCTGTGAAAGTGACGCGTTAACGCTCCTCGTGTAGAAGATAGGCTTTAAACCTGCGAAATCAACCCGTCTTCACGCAGATGTGATGCTTTACTTTGAAATCTTCACCATCATTAAAGAGAGGTGAGCTGATGTAGGTAGAAGGTGAAGAAGTGATACCAACAACAGCCTGATCGATCAGGTAAGGATCCAGGAGGCCTGGTCTGAGACCAGTCCGCGAGAGGGTGACCCCCTTCGGGAGCAACTACAGGTAACCTACAGGCAGTATAAACAGCCTGATCGATCAGGTATGGGAGAGGGGTGGAGGGGGGCAGTGATCATTGGAACCATCAGTTGACAGCAGGATTATTTGTGGAAGGCTTAACCCGTAAGGGTCACACAGCAAATGGGAAATTGGGGCTAATTATATTTAATCCAAGGAGAGAGGAAGGGTAACAGCAGTAACCTGAAGCAAGAACCCTTCATCGGCATTAAGGTGTCCGTCACCCCTTGAAGGGTGAGGGCATCAGGGTACCCCCTCACCCCTTGAAGGGTGAGGCATCAGGGTACCCCCTCACCCCTTGAAGGGTGAGGGCATCAGGGTACCCCCTCACCCCTTGAAGGGTGAGGGCATCAGGGTACCCCCTCACCCCTTGAAGGGTGAGGGCATCAGGGTACCCCCTCACCCCTTGAAGGGTGAGGGCATCAGGGTACCCCCTCACCCTTGAAGGGTGAGGGCATCAGGGTACCCCCTACCCCTTGAAGGGTGAGGGCATCAGGGTACCCCCTCACCCCTTGAAGGGTGAGGGCATCAGGGTACCCCTCACCCCTTGAAGGGTGAGGGCATCAGGGTACCCCCTCACCCCTTGAAGGGTGAGGGCATCAGGGTACCCCCTCACCCCTTGAAGGGTGAGGGCATCAGGGTACCCCCTCACCCCTTGAAGGGTGAGGGCATCAGGGTACCCCCTCACCCCTTGAAGGGTGAGGGCATCAGGGTACCCCCTCACCCCTTGAAGGGTGAGGGCATCAGGGTACCCCCTCACCCCTTGAAGGGTGAGGACATCAGGGTACCCCCTCACCCCTTGAAGGGTGAGGGCATCAGGGTACCCCCTCACCCCTTGAAGGGTGAGGACATCAGGGTACCCCCTCACCCCTTGAAGGGTGAGGACATCAAGGTACCCCTTGAAGGGTGAGGGCATCAAGGTACCCCTTGAAGGGTGAGGGCATCAAGGTATCCCCAACCCCTTGAAGGATGGGTAGGGTATTGTACTATATAATTAGGTTTAAAGCTAGGCTTTTTTTTGGGGGGGGGGAGCCGAAGAAGTTTGTTTGCACACACGTACATCCATCCCGTGGGAGACGGCGAAGAACATAAGGATACGCAAAAGGCTTAGGAACCAAAAGGTTTAACAGGAATACACCTCGATTATTATCTACAATTGATTGCAAGCAAATTTAGGGTATTTGCTGCTTAATATGTCTGGTATCATATTTTCATTAATGCGATACTTTGACATATCACATAGGTTATTATATTAACTGGGCAAGAAAGTGACCAAATGCTGGCACATGCTTTGCATTTAGTTCGGTCATTTGTGTGTTTGCCAAAGTGCCAGAAGTACTTGTAACCAAGACTGGCTTTTACATCAGTCAATATGTTCATATTGCAAGTTGCTCCATAAACATATCTACGCTCACGTTGTCATAGTGTTTCGCTAATGCAGCAGTTTTCAATTATATCCACTCTTCATTTATTTAGACTTCCCACAAATATATTCACCACTCGCTGTCAGCTAAGGATTAAAATATTTTAAGGTAAATAATGTGTGTGCTGTATATGCATTTTTAGGCCTAGCTATATTGCTCACTTAATATATCATAGTGTAAACATATTATCAGACTTTACAGCCATTTTCACTTTACAGCCGTAGCCCGGAACCTAACCTGCTGTATAAGCGGGGCCCTCCTGTAGTATTAAATCCTTTGCATATATCAGAATCTGAATGAGAGTTGACACTCATTGAAGGTGTGTGTCAACCCAGTCTTCCAGTGTGTGTCAACCCAGTCTTCCAGTGTGTGTCAACCCAGTCTTCCAGTGTGTGTCAACCCAGTCTTCCAGTGTGTGTCAACCCAGTCTTCCAGTGTGTGTCAACCCAGTCTTCCAGTGTGTGTCAACCCAGTCTTCCAGTGTGTGTCAACCCAGTCTTCCAGTGTGTGTCAACCCAGTCTTCCAGTGTGTGTCAACCCAGTCTTCCAGTGTGTGTCAACCCAGTCTTCCAGTGTGTGTCAACCCAGTCTTCCAGTGTGTGTCAACCCAGTCTTCCAGTGTGTGTCAACCCAGTCTTCCAGTGTGTGTCAACCCAGTCTTCCAGTGTGTGTCAACCCAGTCTTCCAGTGTGTGTCAACCCAGTCTTCCAGTGTGTGTCAACCCAGTCTTCCAGTGTGTGTC